AAGGAGGTTCCGGTTCTGGTCGACGGCGAGGGGGTGGCTGGGTTCCGGGTCTGGGGTAAGGGGGGGGGTCGGCGGTGACCGGCAGGGGTTGGCGTCTAGGGTCGGATCTGGGTCGGGTATGGGAGGGTTAGGTCTACATCTGGGTGTGTACTTACCTGTGCTCCTAGCCGTCGTCCGCCGCCGTCCGACGACCGTCTACACCGCCGGCAGGGAGGACAAACGCTGAGGGTCGACACGCCGGCGACTACCTCGAGGAAGAGCCGTTACAGGCTACAACGGGAGAAAGCAGATCAGCGCAGAGGAGAGAGAAAGTTTTCTTCGCAAGAAAAACAGGACCTTGAGCAGTCATGACACGCTCAAACCATTAATCCCAATTCCCAGCAATGCCATTAGTACGTGAACTACACCCGAAGGTGAACGCGCGTGCGAGTAGCTAGTCGCTCATCGGCCATTAAAGCTTCCAACCTCACTCCCTCCCCTTCCACTCTCTCTCTCTCATCACCAGCTCAGCGTCAAGTCGTCAACTATCTCTCCCTTTTTTTTCTCTCGCTACATTCTCTCCTTGACCGCTTGCTGCAATCTCTTCCTGCATTTACTCTACAGATCGCGCCCGACCCGCGTTTCTCGGATCTGTGAAGTACCCGATAGCAGCATTGTCAAGCCGAGTTAGGGTTCTTCTCCCCCCGTCCTGCTCGCCGGAGCTATGAGCTGGATGCGGCGACATGCAATGGCTGGGGTTTTCCGACGGAGTTGATGGAGGATTCTGTCGGTGCGGCTGGCTGTAGGAGAACCCGAAGAGGGTGCTGGGCGAGATGGGCCGGGTTGGATTCTCAGAATCGTGATTGGAATTTCGCGGCCCTAGAGATAGAAGATGTCTGCTCTTGCTTTTCTCTTTCTTCTCCCCCTGTTCACTCTGGTTCCTACTAGTATTGGTAATTTCAGTTTGAATCTGCTTTTTTTCCCGTTGATTTCTATATATATGCCGATTTGGAAGTTATGCCGCGTGAATTCCTTTTTTACTACTCCCTATTTTAAGCATAGAATGTTCCTTATAAAGATGAACACAATTTAGGATTAAATCTCTTCATTATATGAAATGAACTTTATTAATGTTTTGAGTCTTAAGCAGTGCCCCTCTTATGGTAATTTCTTTTCCTTAACTTTGCATCAGAGATGAACATGAACGAATTAGATAATAACTTCCAGTTTTTGAAGATGTTTTTTTATCTGCCTATAGAATGACAAGCTGTCAATGATGATATGAAAAGAAGTTATTGTCAGTAGGGCACTACATAGCTATCTTTATATATAGGTTGCTTGGAATTTACACCATTGTATGTAGTGGCAATTAATCTTTTGTTTGCCAGAGTCCCACTTTGTGTTTGTTTTGGCAACTAATTTGAGCTTTTTTTTGTAGTGGCAGTTAATACTCTGCATGTTGTTTGTGGAGTCCCATTTTGTGTTTGTTTTGGCAACTGATTTGAGCATGTGTTGTTGCTCGAATGTCTTTTTGTTTTTCTTTACTATTCAGTTCTTTATCTATCAATACTCAGCAATGAGCATGTTTGGTTGAAAGGTAAAACTGCGTGGTTGAAAGTCTGCAGTCAATCACTTCTTAGATTATACTCCATACTGGGCATTAACAGACTACCCTTTGAAGGAGACAATTGTGCACTTTAGAAATATTTGAGTTGCCTAGTACTCCTTTCACCCCAAATTGTGCACTTTAGAAATGTCTTAGTATATTTTTTCATCCTTCCCATTTATATTTTCCAATTCTAAGAATGGAAATAGATTCTCTACCAAGTGTACTTTTCAACCTATCTTTACGAACACTCATGACCCAACTGCCTAGCACATGGGTAGGTAAGGAAGCCCGAATTCAAAAATTACACTGATATTACCTAACACTCCATGTCAAAAGTGAATGAGACATTATATTTAGGATGGTGGGAGTACTTGTGTACACTTAATAGTAGTCATAGAATTACAACATATTTGGAATGAGTATCTCATTTGCCTAATCCAGGACATGATGAAATGTTTTTCCCTTGTTTCTAATTAGAGTACCATTTTTGGCGTATCTGAGTTATCCTTCATCAAACTTTTGGCTTCTTCAAACATTCTTTCTGAACATATTTGTTTGTCTCCCCTCCTGACTAGCCAAATGTACTTTGCTAGAAAATTCTCCATGGAAGAATGTTGTTTCAGAAGTTTCTTTGTTCTGATGAAAGTTCTAACTTCTCACATATAAGATTTGTTATCCTTTGATTTCTGCTCATCTTTTTTTAAAACCAGTGCAATGTGTTTAATTTATTCCATGATTTTTCTTTTATATTTTACAGTGAGGTTAGAGTCTACCAGTGCATCGTGGGCTCCACTATCAGCTCCTCATAGACATCATCTCAAACCTTCTATCAATCCCACTCGCGGACCAGCTTTTTCACCAGTGCTTCCAGGTACTTATGGTGTTTGTTATCTTAACTTCTGATCCTTTCTTTACTGATGTAAAGCTTACTTCTATAGGCCCTCTACCCAGTCCTATTGGCAATACTTGGCGAAGGCATCATCACCGTCATCACCATCGAGGGAGTACTCGACCAGCAGTTTCACCACCTTCAGGATCTGGTAATTTGCTCTTAAAAATCCAAAAACTCTCTGCCTAGATAGTACTCTTGCCTTGGCCAACTGCATTTTTTTCTTTATTAACCCAAGCTACTCCTGTCTATGCTTCACATGATCTTGCCCCGGTGCTAGCCTTCAGTTTTCCGCTCCCCTAGTTTATAAGACTTTTTAGGTCATTCGTATTTTGTGAAAATCCTGTATGATTAGTCACGCCGTACAAGATAATCATCTTCTAATGTTTAATCATCAATTCATCAAATCAAATCGTGATCCTTATTTACTGAAATGAAGACTGATCTGCCACAGACTAAGAGTCCAATGCAGTCTATAGTGCCCCTACGACATCCAAGGTTGCTATAGAGACCAGCCTTTTGCCCCAAAAATGTGCCAACCAATTTTTCCCTCCCAAGAGTCAACAATGCGGCCATAGCTCCCAATCAGTTGTGCCATACTGCCCTGTATCTTGCATAGTTAAGTTCCAACCTAAAGACAAGCTCTCCAAACAAAGCCGTGTTGACATGTCCTAGACTCATGTTAGTACAACGCCTTAAAACTATTTCCACCAACATTCTAACCAATGGCAGGATTCAATATTGGCACACCTTCATCGTCACGGTCACACAATACTCGGTGCGTGACATGCACCACCACTCAAAATCTAGCACGCCCTCGTGCTAGAAATAGGACTTTGCCCAATAATCTTCTTTGCAATGATATTTTCATGTCGCGAATGAAATTATTACCCTCTCCCCAACTTGGATGTGCAGCGCACCATATAATCCATCAAATGGAGCCATTACTCTCTCTCAATCAAGATGTGCAGGGTTCTACATTCTTCCAAACAAACGAACAATATGCACATGAATACCATTTGCCATGTGCTGAGAGTCCAACGTAGTCTACAACGCCCGTGCGGCGTCCCAAGGTCTCTTGATCGCTTTGAGACCAACCTTTTACCCCATAAGCATGTTCGATGCTTTTGCCCTGGCTCATCAGGCCCGACCAGTTGTGTAATTTATCTTGCATAGCCTATTTAGTTAAGTCCTAGAACAGTGACAAGCTCCTCAAACATAATTGGGTCAGCATGCCTAATTTGGCGAGTCATGAAAAGAATGCAATACAACTCCTTAATGCTATTGGCACCAACATTCTAACCAATGAATCCAAATTATTGGGAGACTTGGTGCATTGGTTAGAATGTTGGTGCCAATAGCATGTGAAGACTTGGTGCTTCATCTTCACGGTCATTCAAGACTTGGTGCATGTGAAGATTAAAAAAATTTAATAATATAAAATGAATGCCGTTCATGGTCTCACAAGCATTGCCAAATTTAACAGATTTGAAACAAAAAACTAGACACTTCCTTGCCACTTGCTGTATAATGAATGTGATCCTCATTGTGTTTCTTGTATTAATGAATGATATTAAAACTTAAACTGGCAGTCTGCAGTCAGGGCTGTTCGCCTCCACTTGCTTCAGTTCCCCTCCTTTCAAGATGTGATTGCGTGTTTCCAATGAACGTGAAGCTCCTCTTAGGTGTATCACTTTATTCTGTATTTCCTGTCATTAGAGAGCTTGGGCTTGAGGTTGCTGCAGGCACATACCTTGATCCTTGTCAAGTAGTTGTTGTTGGAGCAAGTGCTTACAATCAAGACCAGGGAAAGACAATGGTTGATCTTAACTTGGTTCCGCTAGGGGAGAAGTTTGATAACACCACTGCTCAGCTTACTTCTGAACGATTTTGGAAAAAGAATGTGCCTTTAAACCATACTATGTTTGGTGATTATGAGGTGATATCCATTAGCTATCCAGGTACACGATGAACTCAATATTGTGTTTTCCTCTGTTCTTTGTATAGTTATAAGGTCTAAATGTTTTAGTCTCAGGGCTGTCTTCTTCTCCACCACCTGGCAGTTTTAATGGTTCAAGCACAGACACTCAGCCGATTCCTGTTACTGCTGATATTACGAATAGGAGTCAGAAAATGAGTCCGAGACTAATATTTCTCATTGCTTCATCAGCTCTAGTACTCCTAGTGATTTTATGCGGAGCCATTGTTATTATGCTAAAATGCAGGAAGCCTGGCCGACCATCAAGCGCTGTTGGTCCTGTTTATGCTTCTGCTATAAACAAGAAATCTGGTATGCCTCAGTTAATTTCATGCATGAATCTAAACCATCATCATTATTTGTGTCTGTTCTTGTTTTCATTATTGTTTCATACTCTTTCTTTTAATGTTTTGAATTTATTTGCTGCTAAATTTATATTTAGTTGTGCTTGACGTGGGTGTTTTATTTTAAACATGTTGAAATATCAAGGTTATCAGAGCATTTATTTGATCTAGTATTACTATGTTCTAGAATAGGGGTCTTACAGGACAAACAGTATTACGAAGTTCAAACCAGTCTCTTTTCTTTTGCTTCTTATTTTTTCAAGGCCGAGTCTAAGTATTAACACAGCAAGACATGCTTTTCCTCAAATAGATTGTCTTCTACTCAACAGTGTTTCTTCCATTTATCTGCATACAAATCGTTTAAGTGAGCTATTTGTTTTCTATATCGTTGTAAACCTTTCATAATAATTGTTACATATTTGCGTAAGTCAATATTTTATTTATCGAGGTTTGTAGAGATCCCAGTATTGGAGCTTTAAGAGCTTGTGAATTCCCAGCCGATAGTAGCATGTTTCAAAGAAATCATTTTTATCAATTCTCTCGCTGATCATCCTTGATCTACATACCTATTATGTTAAGTGTATTGTGTTACATTATTTTGTGAACATTCTAATTCTAGATTTATGGGAACCTTCTATGTTCTCTTACGTAACATGGTCTGTGCCTGATTGTAGATGAATGGAGTTAACCTGGATTCTTTACTTGATACTATGATACAATGTTATTTGTTAATTTGTAAGCCTCATTAACAAAATAAATCTATACAAACTTTTAATTCTTAATTTATCACAGGAATGGGGTCTATGATATCAAGTAGCCCTGTAAGCTCGACATCGGTGTCCTTCGCTTCTGCAATGCCCACATCTATTCGTTCTGTTCGGACATTTTCTCTTGCTGAGCTCGAGAAAGCCACAGAAAAGTTTTGTTTAAAAAGAGTTTTAGGGGAAGGAGGGTTTGGACGTGTTTATCATGGGATCTTGGAAGACAATTCAGAAGTTGCTGTCAAATTGCTTACAAGGGATAATAATCAAAACGGAGATCGTGAATTCATTGCTGAAGTTGAGATGCTAAGCAGATTGCATCACCGTAACCTTGTGAAATTAATTGGCATATGCATTGAAGACTGGACACGCTGTTTGGTTTACGAGCTTGTTCCAAACGGAAGTGTTGAGTCTCACTTGCATGGTATATTATCTGTTTTCTCCTGTTGCTATCACTTTCTTAGATATGTCATTCATAGACTTTTCGGGGTTGAAATATCTGATGTCAAGTGTTAAAGGATCCTCTTCTTTGTTATGAACATTATCTGTTCTCTTTGCAGTGTGTTTTTTCTGACAGGATCCATTGGTATTTCAGGAGTAGACAGGATGAGATGTCCTCTTGATTGGGATGCACGGTTGAAAATTGCTCTTGGGTCTGCAAGGGGCCTGGCTTATCTTCATGAAGATTCTAACCCTCGTGTAATCCATCGTGACTTCAAAGCTAGTAATGTTTTGCTGGAAGATGATTATACCCCCAAGGTTTCAGATTTTGGATTGGCAAGGGAAGCAACCGAAGGAAGTCAACATATATCAACACGAGTCATGGGAACTTTTGGGTATGCTTCTTTTCCATCTAATGGTAATTAATGGGTAGAAGAATATGATCCAAATGGAATAATGTACTGCAGTCTGACTTGCTGTGGTAAAATCCGATAAAGTTATTAGTTTCATGGGAAATGCCAGGAGTGAGATAATCTTGTCTCCTTTTTTTTCATTTTTCTTGTCTTAAAGAGGAAAAATTGATACGTTCTATTGTGGATCACAGGTATGTTGCTCCAGAATATGCTATGACAGGCCATCTACTTGTGAAAAGTGATGTATACAGCTATGGGGTTGTGCTACTAGAGCTTCTTTCAGGAAGAAAACCAGTTGATATGTCTCAACCACCAGGACAAGAAAACCTCGTTACGTGGGCCAGGCCTCTACTGACCACTAGAGATGGATTGAAGCAATTGGTGGACCCTTCCTTGGATGGGAGCTTCTACGACTTTGATGACATGGCAAAGGTGGCAGCCATAGCTTCCATGTGTGTTCACCCAGAGGTGACTCAAAGACCCTTCATGGGAGAAGTTGTTCAGGCACTCAAGCTCATCTACAACGACGACACAGACGAAACATGTGCAGATGGCTGTAGTGTAAAAGACTCACTCCCTGACTCTGAATACAGAGGCGGCGATCATATCAATTCAGACAGCAGCTGGTGGAACGCTGGTGGGATGACACCTCGGCTGACATACGGTGTCGCCTCCTCCTTCATGACAATGGAGTACAGCTCTGATCTGCAAGACGAGTTTGAAAACAGGCCGTTCTCATCCTCAAGACTGATGGGACGAGGAGGGGTTGCCAGCAGGGGTGTTGCATTACCAATAACGCACGGGAACAGATCAGGCCCCCTAAGGACTGCCAGGGGTAATCCCGTCTTTTACAAACCAAGCGGTAGTATGAGCGAACACGGCTCATCACTCATTCCAAGACGCTCTTGTAATAACGGTGACGAGTACAATGACGCTTATCTCTAGGACGGAATGGAGAACTGTGTAAAATGTACAGTGCTGGAAAGACCAGACCCCATCGGTACTGAAAATGAAAAGACAATATGGTTTGTGGGTGAGGTAGCAGAAGCAGCAGTTGTTGTAGTATAAGATTAGGAGTTTGGATTCGGCCGCGGTTTGCCTTCTAATTTTTGGTCATCTTTTACAATCAATTAATTAATTACAACAGCAGGGGAACCTTGGTGTAAATGTAGTCACTCAATTCACTTCATGGTTCAATACTCGATTGAACCATTATGTCACATTTATATTCTTTTCCTTCATGGTTTTCACAGCCAATGTTGTTTTTTAGGCTAACTCATCATCGGTATGAATATCCGTGTGGCCTGCAAAAAAGAAAAGAAAATGCTCGGCCGTTGGTCGCAATGTATACCGGACAACAGGTTGTACGATATTTCTCGTACATCCACAACGAGTGCTCATTTACGAGTAAATAAATGCTCATTTTTGAGCAAGTGAATACTCATTTTAGAATAACTGAATATTCATTTCCCTAAAACTCAGTTAGGCTCGAAAATGAACATTCAGTTGCTCAATATGAATCCCGTAATTCGAATACAGATCACAAATCAAACAAAAAATATTTGATTCATTTGGAGCATATGCAACGTCGAGTTCTTCCTCTTTGTCGCCCCACCACACCACACTTTCACTTGATTATCATGGAGTGGAATGAGCGTTCCTCCACTATGGCTAGCGAGGCATGTTTATGCCTTTTCTTTTCATTTTTTTGAAGAAAGAAATACTATATGAGCTATTGAAAATTTGAATTACATCAAAGAATATCAAAAATACAAAAAATGGCTTGCCGACAGATTGGTCATGCCACTCTAGACTGGGTTGATTTCTTATGTTTTTTTTTTTTGAAACAAAATGTGTTTTTGCAAGGCATTTAAATAAAATAGATAAAAAATGTTTTAAATAAGAAAAAAAGAAGATTTTTATTTTTTTAAAATAAGGAAAAAGAATTCTCCTATTTTTTATAAAGGTTATAGAAGTATTTTTATGATCAAATAATTAATTAAAATAATTTTTATAATTAAAATGTCTCAAAAAAATATAATAAGTGACAAACACATTGATTTGCCACTGCAGGACATGCCACTCCACTAACTTGTCACTCGCTGACTAGACTGTTTTTCATTGATTGGAATTTTCCACGCCGGCGTGTGACATTCCATTTTTGTCTCACCGTTGTCCATGCTCTTACAACCACACCGACCACTGTAGCCAATCAGTCAAGGAGAGGGGGAAAGGGGGCTGTGGTGCGGGAGGAGGGGGAGATGGAAGTTGTTTAGGAAAGTAAGAACCATCAATTTTGTCAACGAAGCTTCGTAAGAGACTCGGGTCATAATATATTAATATGACATTGATATTAATGTTATATGAACCGGCCCATACACATAAACAGTAGAATAGACGGTTTTCTTTTGTGTGAGGTAGGGAGGGAGTATTTTAAATTGAAAATCTACTTTGCGTGGTATGAATTTATTTACAATTTGTCCCAAAAACTGCACTTCACTCCTGCAGTTGCTCTTTGAGCCCGACACATCATCTGCCCCAGTCTGCGGACCCGATAATCGCCGACGACATTTCCACCGGAACTAAGTTTCCCGGTGCTTCTCCATTAGCTCCGGTGACACGCCGACACTCTCATTTTCCCTCTCTGTTTTAACCGTACATATAACTGCCCCCCCTTTTGTTCTTATAAACCCGCAGAATTCAGCCGGCGTTCCCTGCGCGAAATGTACGGGCGCGACATTGGCAGAACTTCTCGCGGCTTCTTTTTCAGCATAGCTCTCAGCCGCTGCGCTTCTCTGTTCCTTCCTATGGTGGCATCTCTTTCGATCTAGCTTCTCGAAGGTAGATCGACTGAATCTATTTGTCCATATGTCCCTACCTTTTGCTTGAATCTTCCTTTGAACTTCAGTTTTTTTTTTTTTTTTTTTGTGAAAGAAATTTCTCGAAAGTCGATTCAACCTTCTCCTTGTTAAATCACTTAATCCATGTGAAATAAACAAATACTGATTCAGTCAATTCCAATTCCTTGTTATTTTGAGTAAGGCAATCAGATTTATTTTGTTGCAAGTTGCTGCTCACTTGTTTTGGCTGAATGTAGCTTCTATGCGCTATTTCATATTAAGCTTCCCTTTAAAGGATGATTGATGTGGTGATGGGATGTATTAAATCAGAAATTCTCTCTCAGGTATCACTATGAATGGGATTCAGAAGGGTCAAAATCTTGAGGAACATTTTTCAGGATGTTTGGGAAGAATGGTGAACCTTTTCGACTTGAATGATGGGAGTGCAGGGAACGAATTGCTCACGGATAAGCCATATCAAGATGGTAAATGCAAACTCATCACAATAGTATATTAAAATTCAAATTCTTTGGCTTGTCAAAGTGACATTAAAGTGATGAAACAAGCATGGTTCATGATGTGATGCTTGTTATGATTCTTTTTCTCAAGATAATCTAATAATCAATGAAGATGGCTGGTATGCTAGCTAGTTCACCTTGTTCCTTGAATCTTGACTGAGTGGAAACTAGTTATTTCTCTAATTAATTTGGTATATAGTACAGAGTATATGATAGTATTTCTGCAATGCACCTTTCTTCGGTTTGTCAATATCATGCCTTGCATAAACGATTACAGGCTTTCCTCCAATGTACAATTCGAACGTGGCAAGTCTGTCTCCCTATAACGATCAGACTGAGGATAATGAGGTCATATTTTCAATCTATTTATGAGATTTGAACTGTAACAACCAGGTCTTTTGAAAAAGTTGCCTATGTTACTGATGTATACTCATTTCTTTGGTGCGTGCAGATTGTGTCAAAATCAAGTGAAAATATTTTACATAGGAAATCAAATGTAACACCAATGAAGATGCTCCTTGCCCAGGAAATGTCCAAAGAAATTAACAATAAGCATAATCCACCAAGTGTTGTAGCCAAGCTAATGGGGCTTGACACTCCTCCGTCTCAGCAACCTGATTCTTCTAAAGAAAGATATTGTGTTGGTGGGAGTGCGCGAGTTCACACTGACACACATTTGAGTTATTGCAATAACAAAAGTGGAACATTAAATGGAGAATTACAGCATGACTTTCATCAATGCTCAAAACAAAATCAATTCAAAGATGTCAACAAAGTTTGGCAGCATCAGCAGAAGAGCTCTCTGAGAAATAAATCATCTGGAAGCGGAAGGTGTGATGAAAAGGACAAAAGGACGGCTTATGTACGCCAAAAGTTCATTGAAGCAAAATCTCTATCCATAGATGAAAAATGTCGCCAGACTAATAACTTCCAAGGTGCATTGGAAGTTCTGAGCTCCAACCCTGATTTGCTCCTCAAGTTTTTACAAGAACCAAATCCTACGTTGGCTCAACAGATATCCAATCTACGGTCTTGTCAGCCTCCTACTGATATAAAACGGATAACTGTACTTAGACCTTCCAAGATGGTAGATAACCACACATATTCTGGGAAGGAGACGAATGAAAAAAAGGATAACAAGGCCAACGAAGTCAGCCAATTGAACAAAATGGATGAAAGCTATCAGGATCATTTTGCTTCTACAGCTAGACATAGTGTTGATGGAAGTTCTGCTCAACCAACTCGAATAGTAGTACTTAAACCTAGCACAGGTAAGTGTCACAACCTCAAGGTTGTGAGTTCCCCACCTCGCATATCACCTGCTAGGTTCCATCATGAAAATGTATCGGCAGACCCTGAAGATAATGGTGTTCAAGAATTAAGAGAGCTGGCTACGGAAATCACCCAGCATATGCACGAAAACTCTATTGGGCATGAAAGGGATGACATATTGCTTTCTTCTGTGTTCCTAGATGGCTATATTAGTGACGTGAGCTCATTCAACAAGTCAGAAAATGAGCATGCCATGGAAAACCTGAGTGATTCGGAATTCATGTCACCAGCTTCTAGGCACTCATGGGAATTCATTAATAGGTTTAGAAGTCCACATTCTTTATCCTCACCCCGTGCATCTCATTCTCCAGAATCTCTAGTATCCAGAGAAGCAAAAAAACAACTTTCTGAAAGATTGGCCATGGTTGCATCAAATGGAATTTGCCAAGAACAAAGACCTCACAGGAGAAGCTCAAGTACTTTAGGTGAGATGCTTTCTCTTTCTTATGCAAAGAAAGCAGGAAAACGTGGGGGAGGAGGAGATAAAGAGCCAAGTGACTTGAGTTTCAACCAAGTTGGGGGTGCAAATATAATGGAAGGCGTGGATAACTCACTGAGTCTCCTGAGGTCACAATCTGTCCCTGTACCTTCTACCATGTTTGCTTCCCAATTGAAAGTAGAAAGCTCGGACTCGGAGACTGTAAAAACAAACCCTGGTGAGGGGTCACTAAATGAAAGAATCATAAAGTTCTCTTTGAAGGGGAAAGTTTCAGGTTTGTTCTCGTGGAACAAGAAACCTAGCAATCAGAAGCTTGACACTTCAAAATATGGCGATGAATCTCATTTTGGTGAGAAGTGTTATTTAGATTCTCGTAGAAAAGAAAATCAAGATATGAGTCAATGCCTTGATTATGTCCATGGCTCAACTGGCAAAAGAACTTCTTCAGGCTTGACTGGAAGGCATGTCATTATTTCTTCTGAGGTAATTGGGTAACCATTAGCACCATACTTCCCATGTTCATTTTATGAGCTTTAGAAAATTCAGGTGTGATTTTATGGTCAAGCATATATTGTTAAATACCAGTATTTATTATACAACTTTTTGGCCTGCACATTGGTTGATACTACTGCTAGACTTATTTCAAACTTAAAACAAGGTTGCAATGAATTCATGCTGGACAAATTCTACAGGTTGATCCTGGACCATCTGTGAAGAAGGATTGGCGTCCTGGAAATCTAAGTGAGAGCCAAGATCAACCAAGTCCTATTTCTGTTCTGGGGACATCATTTGAGGATGATGAATCTGTAACACAAGTATCCCTAGACAATATCAAACAATACGATCATGGTAACTTTTTTCTTTCTCACTCGTGCATAAATTTCTTTCCTCGTCGTATCGTGCCTTATCGTTTTCCAAAATCAAACAGGGGAGTTGCCTGGTCCCTCCACCACTTTCAATCCAATTGACAAATCTCCACCGATCGGTTCAATTTCCCGTACTCTATCATTGAACGATTCTTGCTTATTCGACGCAGCCACCTCTTTTTCACTGAAACCGTCCTCAACTCAAAGGGCCGAAGAAGAGCACAAGTGGTTCATCCATGTTCTGACAATATTATCAGAGGCTGGCCTTGATGACGTGCAATATGATTCATTCTTGTCAAGGTGGCACTCACCAGAGAGCTCATTGGACCCATCACTCAAAGACAAGTATGTTGATTCACATGACGAGGAGTCGTCTCTTCATGAGGCTAAGCGAAGGAAAATGAGATCAACCAAAAAGCTCATCTTTGATTGTGTGAATGCAGTGTTGATGGACATCTCCTGCCAAAACACATTTCCCTGTAGCGTAATATCAGCGGACCATGTTTTGGGGCAAATGAGAGAATGGTTTTCTTGGAATAATATGATTGATCTCTCGGAATATAATGGGGACAGAAACTGCCTAGTGGCAGAAAAGATGGTAGAGAAGGAGACAATGGGGAACGGATGGATTCAACATTGGAGACTTGAACGTGAAATGATTGGGAAGGAGATCGAAGGAAAATTGCTAGACGAGATTGTGCGTGAAGCAGTGGTGGAAATGATGAAGTAGAATGCAATTCTGTTTTACTCAGGTGGATCTATGTATTATTATTCCTTTCAAAATCACAATGGTAAGTAATATATGTAAATCAAAATGGTTTAATTTGATCTCAAGCTTCCTCTTTTTCTGTCTGAATCTGAATCTGATTATAATTTGATCTCATATGAGAGGTGGCATTTATATTAAGATTGATAGAAATTAAAGAACATTTGGGGCATTAGATTGTGAGGGAAAATTCTGTGTATTCTCATCTTCGTTTATGGTTCCGTGTGGTACAAGTAATGCCTAATATAGAGAACAACAGTGGAAATTACTCCTGTGCCGATTTAATTTGAAGAGTTTGACTTCACCTGCTTGAAAAGTATTCTAAAGTCAAAAGTGGGAGATTAAGAGTGTTTAGAGAAAAAAACAAAAAGTGCCAGTCATATACTCTTTACTTTTGCATGAGTAAAGAAGTGTGTAATTTTTTTGTGAATAACTTAGTGTATTGATAACTCGGGTTTGGGTTAGTTCTTTTTATTCACTTTTAGGTATTTTTAATATTTTTAGAGTTTAATTTTTAGTATTTTAGCTTAGTTTTATTTTAATTCTCATTTTTACAATCTTTTAATTTTCTTTTAAAAATAGTAGGTTTTTAATTATTTTTTAACATTTTATTATTGTCTTCATTTTATTTTATTTTTCCTAACCCAAGTTATCAGATATCTTATTTTTTGGAGAAAAATATCGCAGAAAGCCAAAAATGCAGTTCGAGTTTGGAAAGAAGATATTGATTTTGGCTAGAGCCCAAACCCATCATCAAATAAAGAAGTCCAGGCCTTGTCCTCTTAAAGATTTACGCAAGAAAGAAAAAAAAAAAAAGAATTGAGGATTGAAGTCTACGACTTCTTCCTCTTCGTGTTAAACCAGCGCGGATGCTCCAACGTTCTTCCGTTTGATTCGCAACAATCAATTCTCAACGGGAAGAAATTAAAGGCTCCTTGCTCCTACTATCCTATAAATTGAAGGCAAATTGCAACTCGAAATGGGGGGGGGGGAAGAACGTGAGAGAATCACAGAGAGTAAAGCAGCGGCTCTAGCCGCTGCTATCTACGCAGCTCCGATGGCGGTGGGCGGTGGAGGAGGCGACACCCAGT